GCCCCCGAACGTTCGGCCTGGTAACCATGTATATCTGTCTCTTATACACATCTAGATGTGTATAAGAGACAGCTCTCTCTCTCTCTCTCCGTGTGTGTGGCCAAAGAGACACTGACTAAGGACCACATTTCCTTTCTATTTATCGTAGAAGTGTTCGAAGTCAGGCGACTTCCCTTCTCTCACACACACCGACCGCATATCTCCGTCGTCCAGTGAGCTCGCTCGGCCCGAGCTGTTTAGTGGAAATTGTCCCCGGACTCGCCGACTTCCATCTCGAGCGAGGCCGCAATTGCATGGATCGTTTGTATCTGACCGTGGAGTACGATGACAGACGGCCAGAGGGGAGCAATCCACGCAAGTGGTCCTTCCACCGCGCGTTCAGCAGAATGCGCAGGAGATGGTGACTGTGCCAGTCTCCGCTTCTATCAGAGTAAGAGGAGGCTCGCTCGGACAGAAGGACACTGCACTCACTGAGCTGTTGCGCATGTTGACGTACACGTTCGCCGAGCCTGAAGTCCCCGCCACGTTCCTCGAGTACGTGTTCCCTCTGCAGAAGCTCAGTCTACTCCTCGGTGGCCCGCCGTCAAACAGCGTAACTCCACGTTTGCCCTCGGTGAAGTAACCCGTCACGAGTCGCACATCCACAGCCCCACCGTATCTCCCAGCGGCGTTCTGCTCAAACTTGGAGCCGGAGATGGTGGCCTCCGCCTGGTACATCGACAGAGACACGGCTCCTCCTCGCCTGCCCGCCGCCTTGTTACCTGTAAACGAGCATCCGGTGATGACAGTGACGTTGTCACCGTATATATTGATGGCCCCGCCCGTTGCGTATCGCTCTTGTCTTGCTTCCGTCGAGTAGGCGGAGTTGCGCAAGAAGCTCGAGCGCAGGATCTCCCCCCGGCGGCTGCCGGTAGAAGCTATCGCGCCCCCGATGCCATCAACCCGATTACCGTCAAATGTAGAATTGGTGATCGTGTAAACAGTAGCAAAGGAAAGAGATATCGCACCACCCTCTCCCAAGCCTCCCGCTCGCGTCAGCTGGTTGTTGCGAAAGACAGTGCTCTCGATCAGCACGCTCCCGGCCGACTGCGAGTAGACTGCGCCGCCGAAGCCTCCGTTACCTTGCCCCGCCGCCTGATTTCCGAGGAAGGAAGAGCGGGAGATCCTCAGGTTCCCGCCCAAAACAAAGACCGCCGAGCCGAAACCTCCGCTCACCCGATTCCCGCGAAAAACGCAGTCTTGAATGTCGACGTCGTGACCCAACAAAGTGAAAATAGGTTCCGTTCCGTTGAAGTTCCTGAACTCTAAGTTCCTCAAAGTCAGACCGAGAGGGATCAATCCACCCTCCTTAAACGCTCCGTCAATCACTGGACGTCTGCCACCTTGCGCTTTGCCCACCAGCGTGAAGCTTCTGCCGAAGGCCATAATTGGGAGGGAGGCGTTGAGGACCACGTCCCCTTTCACCTCATGATAGGACACATTGTGATCATGGATAGCCGCCAAAAAATCGTCCAACCCGTACGCTGCTGCCATAGGTATCGCCGAGAGCGCACAGACAAACGCCAGCATCAAGAAAGAGCACATCGTCGGCGCTGCTGACACTCTTTTGCACCCCCAGGAGGCCGCCATAGCCATAGCTCCCCGTCCTCCCCCAAGGTCTAGTACAGCTGCGCTCTGAATGCAGCAGGTAAACTACTGCGCCGACGTAGCTAAGCTCGTCCTGCCTCCTGAGGCACACAGATTCCCTTTGCAGGACCGCCCTATATATGCACACAGACCGCACGAGGCCGACGCCCCGATAGTGCTGCGTTCATCATCCTGCTACCGCAACGAAGTTGGCTTTTTTTTTTCTTTTTTTCTTTATGCGCTTCCGAAGCATGAACGAAGCCCCAATAAATGGGGTTTGCCCCTGAACTCTACACTCCGTTGCGTCTCGTGACCTGCAGATTGGACCAGGTTCTCCTGCCGTCTACACCCGAATAGAACGCTTGGTCATCATCGCCGTTTTCCTTGCAGAAAAACGTTCCCCCAAAAGCTAAAAAAAAAAACAAGGGATGGGGGGGCATCGGTTCGCGGAGCGTTACGCTGCGTTGCGCTAAGGCCCTACCGGAAACGGTAGTGGGAACGAGCACTACGCGGCGAAACGGCTCCACTTTCCGCCTCACTTACGGCCTTCGTCTTCGGTGGTTTCGAGGACGGAAGGTGATGTGGGTCTTCTCTCACCATAGAGATCTATGGTGTGTGTCACCTGTGGAAGATCAGGGGCCAGAGTTGGGCCTCCCGCCGGATAGACCTGAACAGACCTCGAAGGAGCGATGCGAATGAATATGGCCAGCGAAGTCGAACAGGAACAGCGTACGGAGTGAAGCCAGCTGGGCCGGGCAACAAGGGCAAACCCCTCAGAAGGAGGAGGCAGGCATCTCCGTCCACCAAGCCTTAGTTGGTTGGGGGAAATTTTGCAGGACTGTCCTATTTATTGGAAGCTTCTATTATTACTTTATTTCTGTAGTAAATAATTAATTCCTGGTGGTGAAAAGGGCAATGGATTCAGCCGAGAGGCCGGCCGCGTGGACGGATGAAGAAAAGGAACGAGCTAGAGTACTCTTAGTCCAGTGCTATACTGACGGGATCCTACCTAAGAAACTTGCTCCAAACACGGTAGAAATCGGAGACGATTACGTTCGCGTAATTGTCAACCCCGAATTCTATCGGGTGCAAGCAGAGTGGTTGCGTGAACACGCGGTAACGGTTCTGTTTGGTGATGACTCAACGTCCTTGCCAGTCAAGGTGAAGGAACGTCTAGTCAGAGTCTACGAGAATGGGTGGGCATCGGCACGACAAATCAATGCGCCGCCGAAAAGAGGCCTTTTCCATAATGAGGCCAAAAACTGGTCATGTACGTCGCTTCAGCGAAAGAGGTAGCAACATGGATGCTGCGAGTAGGGCAAACGGAAGTGGAACTTGACAAAAACAAGTATACCCTAACCTTTTGGCCCTGGATGACAGAGCAGGAATTGTGGGAATGGACAGAAGTTGACCGACACCAGTTCTTTTGGATACGGTGCCAGCAGGTCCTGGTGGTGGCCCTGGCCTCCTTGAGGGGGGCAGTTGAAGATGCTTTCGGAAAGGTAGTAAGGGAGTACTCGGCTTACAAAGACCCGCTCTCACCAGCCTTATTAAACGTTCGTTTTGACCTGGAGTGGCAGCTCGGCTCCGATATAGACGATACTTGGTCATCAATTTGGGTAGTCATGGGTACGTAGAGATAGAGATTGTATGTGCCACGACCCCATGGTGCCCTTACTGTCGTCAACACTTTCACACGGAAGGAGATCCGGATTGTTCAAAAAACAACCGGAACTCCTATGCCAAGATGACGAAAGATGGAGACCCGCATAAGAAAAACGGTAGGGCAGAGAAGGATAAATCATGCGAAGGCAAGCAATCAGACGGGAAAACCCCTATTCCTACCAAGGATAATAGCGATAAGCCTAGAGGGGAGAAGGACGTGGAATCGGGGCAGAAGGATTTGGAGAAGCAGCCGGAGGACCTCGACCCCAATAAGGGCAAGGATCCAACAATGGATGTGGACCCGGTGAAGATGCAGGGGGAAAAAGGGAACGAGGGAGAGGAGAACAGTACGCCTATGGATTAAGATATTTTGAATGCAGGCAGAGAGAAGAGGAAGAGAGACGAGGATCCACCTGAGATGGAGGAGATATCAGATGAGGAAGAAGAAGACGCAGGGATCAGAGATGAAGAGGAGAAAATGAAAGCAGGGATCGAAGATGAAGAAGATGTGGAATATAGTCCGGAGAGCGAAATGGGGGAAAATGAGGAGGAAGGAAGTGAGGACAAAGGAGAAAAAGTTGGGTCGGCCTCCCTCCCTGATCCCGTAAAATTCTACGTCAACGATGTGTTTAACACGCAGACGCCAGTCGCTACCACCAAGGGGGATTCGGATCTCCTCGTAGAGAAAATCCCAATGAAAAGAGTACTGACTCCCGCAATCATGGAACCTGAAACCTCCTCAAAAGAGGATTTTAAGGATTGCAGGGAAGCCATCACCACGTCAGAGCACGAGGTAACCCCACAAAAAGGGGAGAGCTCAGACCGGGGGAAGGGATTGCCTGGAGGGACTCCGGGCTGATCAATCGGAGTCGGGGAGAAGACCTCTTAGAAAGTCTCTCTTATTAGCCTCCCCAATGGCCACTATTTCCATAACAGAAATGCGAAAATAGAAGTCGTAGAACTTATGACCCCTATGATCTGCATCCACTCTCCCCATAACAGAGGTGGACGATAATAAATCCTTGGTGTTTACGGCCTTTTCTGTGCAAGGCCCACCGTCAATGCCGAATTTGATTAAAGAAGTTAACAAGCGCTTTCTTACGAAGGGGTTATCATGCGCGATAGTGTCAAAAACAAAACGAAATCGTTTTTCGACAGAGTCAGCAAACACAAAATTTATCATACATATTGCTTTCCTGAAATTGCAAAAAGATCCACAGGCTTTGGCCAATATGAAGAATCAGCAAGTTCACTGGGTCCCTCTGGCACATTTCCTGGATGTCGGTCTAGACACACTTAAAGACATCGGACTCTGGGAAGGGGTGTCTGCATACGCAATCGCAGAATGGATTGTGAAATCCTCATTGGTCGATACCCTAACTTCGGTCTCCTTTGCTGACAACTTTGTCTTCACCGCCCCCCCTGGGACACAGACAGAACTTGGAGGGGAGGAAAGGAGAAACCAACAGAAGGGTCGCCCGACAGTAAATGCCCGCATCCAAAGTTCGCGCGACAGGAACCACCAAAATGGTTCTGCCTAATCGAATCAGAATCGTATCTTGGAATGTAAGAGGTATGGGCGATTCAAATGGTAGATGTAAAAATGCTCGACTCCATTCCTGGATATCCTCGCAACATGCGCAGATCATCTGCCTACAGGAGACTAAATTGAACGTGGAGAAGATTGAGGATTTCCAGGGGTGGTGGGATGGGCCTCAGGTGTGGGCTCCGGTTGAAGGCACCAGGGGAGGTGTGGTCATCCTAATAGATAAAAACTTAGAGATTAATATTATCGATCAGTATACAGACCAAGATGGGCGATGGGCCTGGATGAAGATAGGGGTAGGAGACGAGGACTGGGCAATCATGACAGTATATGCCCCAGTCCACTACCAAGATAGAATTAATTTTTTTGCGAACCTACCAGTTTTCATCCCAGATACGGAAAACCTGATAATGTGCGGAGATTGGAATTCAATTTTCAACCCAGGGTTGGACTCCTTGAATGTTGCACCAGAAGAGAAGACACAGTAATCCTCTCAGCCCTAGCAGAGACTCAAGGACTTTATGATGCCTATAGGATCTTCAATCCAAATGCTTTCGGCGTCACATGACACAACCCTAAGCCCTCCAAACATACGCCGACCCCTCGAAAACGTTTGGATTTTTTCCTAATACGACGCGCCCCATACGATCGCACCACTTGGTGCGATCTTCAGATCAAGACTACCTCAGACCACTACCCGATCCTCCTGGATATCGTGACTAAAGACTGGGTGGAGAGACATCGCCCTCCCTTCAGGCTTCATACCAACTTGTTAAAAGACGAAGGGATAGTCTGCTGGATTTCTGCCCATATGGAGGCCTGGAGGAATGCGAAGGATCTATTTGAAGAACATGATGATTGGGCAGTTTCAGGCATTGGGATAGTGCGTGCAGCCCTAATAGAATTTTTGAGGATGAAGGCTACGGACTGAGAATGAAAAGAAAAATTATTAATAAAAACTATAAGAGAGTCTGAGGAGCAGATGGGGAGAGATCCTTTCTCAGACCATTACTGGTCTGTCAAAAGACAACTGGCCCTCACCCAATTAGAAGATTTAGAGCTAAGAAAACAACTTGATTGGCAGGAATGGCTTAAACTTCGAGGGATAGTAGGTTACGATAAGATGACCAAGCTAACCTTCCGCTCACTAATTCTCAGATAGGCAAAGCCTCTAGTTAGAGAATTAGTGCATCATTTTGCATTAGCAGCCCCAATTGCCTTAGACACCTTGGAGATGTGCAGATACGCCTTGGAATACTACAGAGACATAGTCTCCACAAGGCGTCCCTTTGACTCTCGAGACACTGATTTGTCGTAATTCTCAACTTTCTGGCCACAGTCCTTGAAAGTCATCTCATTAACAGCTAGGGAGGAAATTGACCAACCTATCTCAGAACAGAAACTTGGCGTAGCAACCCGACAAATGGCGGCAGGGAAATGTCCTGGCTTGGATGACCTACCTATTGAACTGTTCAGGGCAGCCTGGCTAGCGTTTGCGCCTTTCTTATGTGAAATCTATAATAGAGCAATGGAAACAGGTGTCTTTCCGCCTGAGTTTGTGAAGGGAATGATCACTCTAATGTATAAAAAAGGAGACAAAAGACAAGTGCGCAATTAGAGACCTATTTCCTTACTCAATGTAGTATATAAACAGTTACTTCTCGCAAAAACACTGGCCATCCGCCTCGCGAAGTTCCTCCCTGCTTTGATAGGATGGGAGCAGGGCGCCTTCGTTAAAGGCAGATCAATATTCGAAAATATCCTATCGACAGTGCAAGCCTTGGAAACTATAAGTAAACAAAAGAGAGACGTTGCGGTCCTCCTCCTAGACATAGAGAAGGCTTATGATAAGGTGGGTTGGGGATTTGTCATGACGTCCCTCCGTAAGATGGGATTTGGAGAGGGTTTTTGTAGAAGCGTGGGCGCTAGCTATTTCCAGGCCAAGTCAGTGGTAGTAGTCAACGCGAAACTTTCATATGAATTTACACAAACCCGTTCCCTCCGACAGGGCTGCCCTTTGGCACCCTTGCTGTTCGTACTGCAGCTAGAAGTTCTGTTGGAGAATATTCGATCAAATGACAAAATTAGCAGTCTGAGAAGAAATAATTATGAACAATGGAAAGGGGGTGCAATTGCAGACGACCTGACTATAGCCTGTGAGAACACCACGTTGAGATATGTAGTAGATAATTATTGTACGCTATCGGAAGCTTCCATTAACTAGGACAAGTCAGTCTATTTCCTTCCTCCTCCTAAAGTGCTATGTGTGGATTGGGGCCTGAGACAGGTACCAACTGATGCATCGGATCACTTTTTGGGTATACAAGTTTCATTAACGGATTCGTCAGCTGTGAAGGATTCTATTCTAGAAACAAAGGTTTCAACACGGATCGCAGGATGGGTCCGAAATCATAAACTTTCGGTGTGCGGCAGAGCCCTGGTGTTTTCGGCAGCACCCCTCTCAATTCTGTGGTTTCCCCTCTCCATTCGTTTGTTGGGGGAGAAGGCCTATCGAAGTATCAAGAAAGCGGCGGCCAGCTTCCTATGGAAGCCGGCAGCCGGGGAGCAACAAGGGTTCGTAACAAAAGTAGCCTGGGAAGCAGTCGCAGCACCACGAGATAAGGGTGGGCTGGGCATCTTGGACCCGGTCCAACAGAATAGGAGCTTGCTAGGGAAATGGGTCGTCTCCGCAGTCTTTGGTAATAGAAATAAACTTTGGATTAGACTTGCAGAGTTTATCCTGGCTAGGGAGTGGAACCTGGTAAGACCAACGGACGTCTGGACTTATTTTTTCATTCCTTCCTACGTAACTAGACGTCCAAGATCGAAACTCTGGCGTAACATTCTAACTGCCTGGTCAAAAAAAATTCCAAGAACCAGTAAGGTACCGTCAACCAGGCTGGAGGTCCTGAACCACATACTGTTTGAGAACCCACACATCACAAGAGAGGATGGATCACTGTTCCGGGCGGACGGGAGACCCCGGCCCTTTTTGCCGCACCTGGGTAGAAAAGGGGATAGTGCGTGTCAACGACTTATGGGATGAGTCTAAAAACGATTGGATGTCACCAGAAAGCCTGCTAGCTCGACTTCCCCGAATGAGAGGAGTGGAAGCAAATTTGAAGCTATTACTGCAAGCGATCCCAGATTACTGGGTTCAGACTATCCGGGCCCAGGGGGAGAAGGGGGCCAATACGTGGTGGGAGGATCCAGATGATTCCAGAAGCGTAGTGCAAATTCTTGGACTGGACCTGGCCCACGGGACTAGAGTGCAAGTGTGGGAGCCCTGCCCTTTGGACCCCACCGGAGTGAGACTGCGGAAAGGACCAGAGAAAACGGTTCCCTCTACTCAGAACTTCTCAAAAGTTAGAGTATGGCTATGGAGAAAACAACAACTTTGATCTCGAGATATCCAAGACTGGGACAGGTGGAACCCTTACGCACAGGATGGGCAGACGTGTGTGGCCCAGGAGATTTTGTCCCAACGTGCCTCCACACCACAAGGATCGGCCGCAAATTACAACAGGCGAAGAATAGGATTCAGGCAATCATGCTAGCGGCAGAGAGGGCCAAGAAGGAACCAGGTTTTGAGCTAGGAAACTTGAACTTCTCTAATCTTTGGAAGGCGTTAAAGATGATCCCCTCCCAGAAGCAGGCAAGCATTATGTGGACCCAGTCTCTATTAGTGACACCATCAGCGGTCTGGTTGGCAACACGAGGAATGGATATTTCAGAGGTTTGTGCACGATGTGGATGGGGGTGGGAATCCACCACCCATCTATGGCTTTACTGTCCATGGGCCAATAAGATCAGGTCTTGGTGGATTGATCACTGGAAGAAAATAACAAAGCAGGCCTTTGTTTGGTCTCACGAATGGACCCTATATGGGTCATGCCCAGAGGCGACAGATCTAACTAAGGGCTGGGGTTATATAGCCTTGGTGTGCCGTGGGGTCATTATGGAAACCATTTGGAACGCTCGGAACAAGGCAGTCTTCAACAAGGAATCCGTATCATTCTACAACTAAATTGCCCTCATTAAGAGTGGAATAAAAAAATCCGTGAAATTAGACTTCCAGAATAGGGGCCAAGCCCGCAGCAAAGGCCGATATTGGTTTATGCAGACGTGGGCAAAGGACAAAGTTCTGGCAGTTATTTCGACTGAAGTACAACTGGCTAGTTGGTTACAACAAGAAAACAGAGAGGCTCTACCCTCTGTGGTAACTCAGGGTCCGTGTTAGGTCTGTTCAAGTATAACTTTGTTCTTAGTTATAGTATTGGCAGGAGCCCAGATCGACGATCCGTGCAACTTCATGGTACTTTTTTAGCGTATCGCCTCTGGGGTTTTGCAGAATGGGGGCCGCCTTTTAGGCCCCGGTTGATACTTATAGAGTTTGTATATGGAATGCAGGCCGGGTTAGGCCTGTGGTGTTCGCCCAGACTGCTTGAGTTCAGTTTTACGAGCTGTAAAGGTTAAATGAGCAGGTCTGGGGAGTGGTTTACAGGTGGCCTGGAGGAGTGACAAGTCGTTCAGGCTACAACATATTACTTAGTGCCCCCCTCAAGATACAACAGTTGCTCTGAGCAGATAGGAGCTAGCCCTCATCAGGTGCCTTGAGCTGTAAAAGTTAAACGAGCAGACTTGGGGAGTGGGCTACAGGTGGCCGGGAGGAGTGACATGTTTTTCAGGTTTTATCAGACTCCCCAGTGCCCCTTTCAGGATATAGCAAGTGCTCTGAGCAGAAAGGAGCTAGTCGTTATCAGTCAGCTCAACTTTTTTCGTGCTTTAAAGCCTAAGTTTTGGAAAGGGTTCATAAGAGGGGACGCTGAACCCGGTTTCTAGCAGGTAGTTTCAGGATATATGAAGTAGTTAGCCTTGTTTGTTGAACTCGACTCATAAGTGATATTGGCTGAGATTGCCAGATTAATTCCGGGTCGAATCTTGACGTCCCCGACCTCTTTGAATGGTTTTGGTAATAAGAGAATAATTCTTCCCAAAAAAAAAAAAAAAAAACGGTCCCCCGAATACAGCTACAAGACCGGGCGTTCTATTCGAGTGTGAACGGGCGTGCTACTCGGGTAAGACAGGGTACTCTATTCGCGTGAAGAAGGTAGGAAAAAAAAAAGAATGTTTG